TATTTCTTCGCTCTTTTTGTGATAAAAATGCTATTCGCACGTGCTCAAGGGAGAGAACGAAAATAAACGAAAAAGGAATGAAAGAATCTTTGTCTTGGACATTCAAGCAATGTGTTTTGAAGTTATTGGGGAAATTCTCTTTGAATTCTATGACGATAGACATTCTCTTTTCTGCTGTATTACCTTCTATTTCAAAGTCGATACAATCGTAACTCTCAAAATTCTGAAACTTTTCTTACTTCTATAATTAGTCCCTCTCTTATAGAAAATCAAAATATATCCCTAAACTCCGTTTTTGACGGGCTTTCGTTTGGTATTAAATTCATTGTTCATATCACTAGTCGTTAGGGCTGTACTCCCCTGGAAAAACATTTTTGGCAACCCTGTATATGTTTGTTGAAAACTTATTATACAAATCGATCTTCTTTTACAAGACCGACAAATTAATAAAAACATTATCATCAATATGACCAATAGACAGGGCTGCTTCAATAAGAGGTGTTGAGATTGTAACACCTCTGCCTTCAATATCTTCAAACATTTTCTTGTATTCCATTAGCAAAAATACTGGAAAACTTTCCAAAAAACCGCTACACTCCTTAATGTTGGTTAATATGTGGAAATCCTGCTAATATAGAACCAATAAAATTCTATTAATAAAGATAAATGATAACTTGATAGAACTTTGACTTCATTACAATAAAAAAAGAACTTAAATAAAAAATATATATCACTTCAAGTATTAAGTCCATGCTAAGAAAAACTTACATGAAAGAAGATCAAACTTTCATATAGACATAATATATAGTTCATTATTATAATGTATGTAAAAACGTTTTGGAGATATTAAAAATATCATTCTTCTAGTCTTAATTCATTAATCATTGGTTTTTTAATTCATTCAAAAGACGAAGGAAACATGTCATAATCATCAAAATAATACAATTAATGGCTTATGTACTCACCATGATACTTAAATTCCTATAAATAATTAGTGGATATAAAAAGATAATTGTGTTTGAGTTAGATACTGATAAAAAGAATTGTACATATGAACTACTCTAATAATCTTGTAATTGATAACTTTAACTATCTATTATTAATTTGAAATTATTCAGAAAATTTATAAGAATATTTTCTCAATACAAATGAAATAATGATGGAATAGGAGGTACAGAAACTCTAATATAAATTGGAAAAAATTTCTACAAATTTATTGAATAATAAATTATAATCATAATAGTTGATATTATGATTACAAATGCTTATGATTATCTATAGAAAAAAAATGTTAGGTATATTGATTCTATCTAGAATGACAATTTCATATCATATTATTAGTAAAATCTTTAGTACAACACATTTTTCTAAGTTATAACTGAGAAATAATACTCTATGAAATATTTCAACATCAAATATCTATTTATTTTCTTTTTGAATCTTATCAGCAAGAAATCAGTGAGTATATGACAGTTTGATGATGTTTCGAATGACTTTCTAGAATTTTTATCAAATAACTTTGACTTTGTCGAGAACATTGTTGTAGACTTGTTGGAAAGTTATCATCAACATTATTTTTTACCAAAAGATACATCTTTTGACACTCTACGAAACTATTTAGAATTTATCTTAAGCTTTTTGGAAGTTAACTGCATAACAGAAAATACAATGATAAAACAAAGAATGTAAAATAGATCAAAAAAATGATCGATTTAATTTATTACAATGAATTTTTTTGTTTAATAAATTATTTAATGTGATACATGAAATATATTGTTTTGTAGAACAGATTTGCTTCATCAATTGATATAATTTGACAATGGATTTTGTCAAATTTTTGTGAAAAAAAGAAATTCATAAACAAAAATAATCGAAAAAGCATAGTTTTTAACAAACAGAGATTTTTGGTGAAATTTACAGGGTATCCGGAAAATCATCTACCAAAATGTTTTTCATATATCTTAGCTGTTTCATTTAAAATTATCAACAAATATTTTTTTCAAATTATAGTCGAATATACGGAGTTTTTATTTATATGAGTGACTTTCTATAATATTCTGCAAAACTATTACTTTTGCTCGAAAGACAAAAATTCTGCTATTTTTGTGAGATGTGAGTAATTCAAAATTTGATCATGATTTTTTTTCTTTGATATTTTCGTGTCGTTAGATAGACCTTGTGGAGTTCTACAAGAATATGTACATTGAAAAATTTTTACACCTTCTCTTTGAAGTGAAATTTACAGAGAGCTTCTGAACCAAGACAAAATAATTAAAAACAAAGACATTGCATAATGTTCTATTCGCATCTCATCAAAATAGAAAAATTTTTGTATTTCAAACAATGGTAATAGTTTTGCAGAATAGTATCGAAAGCTCATCGTATAAATAAAAACTCCGTATATTCACCTACAATTTGAAAAACAATATTTTAGTTGATAATTTTGAATGAAACAGCTAAGATATATGAAAAACATATTGGTAGACGATTTTTCGGATACTCTATATTAAGTGACCAGATGTATTAGAAGACAATGTCCAAAAATTGTCCAAATTTGAGTTTTTGAATAACTTTTAATGTTCTTTCAAATTATCAAACTCATTTAAAAAACTAAAATTTTTCACCGACCGAGGTTTTACTGTTTTATATGGTTATCTTATGGATCCTTTCTAAAATATCAACTCATTTTCAAATTGTAGTTGAATAAATAAAAACATTCTTTAGTCACACATGTTTTTATTTTCTTATTGATGCTTATCATAGAAAAATAAATCAATACCGTGAACAAAAGATTTGTGATGCCGAAGTGATTAATAGTTTAATTTTATAGATTTAGTTTTCACTGTTGATAATTGATTCGCTGAATTTCATGCGATTTATAAAGCATTCTCTTCAAATCTACCTATCAACCTTAAGTTTCGATACCATTGGCTGCTGCTTCTATTATTGTCTCAAAATTGAACACATTTTTATTTTGAATAGCATTACAGAAATAATTGCCAGATTGCTATTCTTTTAAAACTCATTTTAGTGGCATTTAAAGCAAAACCAAGTTGTTTGAAGAGTGAAAAAGCACTCTCGAACAAATTACCTATTGTTTATTGACAACAAAAAATCATAAGAGAAACAATTTATGAATAGAATAAGAAAGAAAAATATTAAACAGGAAAAAGAGTTTCGTAGCTCGGTAGTGGCATCGTATGATCTTCATTTTTCAATGTTGTATTGATGATGATCAAAGGAACTTGTAGGCGAATATTATTCAAGCGATCATGCATATGAGCTTCAAGACGGAGCTCGTAACGCATGGTTAATGGGTTTCGAGAAGGGTATGGTTCTGTTTCCCATGAAAATGATGCCACAGTTTCTTTAGGCAGAAGAAGTTTGAAGTTGCCATATAAATGTTCGTCCTGAAAATTATATGTATCCAGAAGATTCTTTGTCAGTGGAATTATATTTTTCTCTTCTGTACGAGCCAATATTCGTTCTCGAATCAGCTTTGCTGATATTTGATGAATTGTCATTCGGTTTGGATTGTATAAGTCGAGTTCAAACGAGAAGCACTCACCAGCAACAGCAACATTCTTATGAAGAAACGCATGCAATTTAACACCCTTTCGATTTTCATCTTCAACTTCAAGGTGAGTTATACGCAACGATGTCGTTGAACGTTGAATTATAATAGGATATCGTTGTTCAACGTTCATCTTATACCAATCTGATTGTTTTAATCGAGCACAAAGGAAGTAGCGAATATAGGGACCTTGACGATCATTTTGTGTCATAGTAGGGGGAAGTGAATCATCAAGATGAAAAGAAAATGGCCATATATGATTGCCTGGCGTTAGGATAAATTTGTTTTGATCATCACTGGAACGTAGAGTTAGCATTTTGGTAAAGAAAGATAAGTGATGTGTAGTTGATGATTTCTGTTTAATTGAACTCTCATCAGTAGAGTAAACAAGTTCACCAATTAATTCGACGCTAACACTCTTTAATGTCACATCAGAATCTCCATTATGGTAGCATTCGATCGTCCCAGAAACGATCTCATTCGTTCGATAAAATTTTTTGGTTTTTTCAGAAAACCGAAGTGAAATATTTTTTCCAATTAATGCACTGTTTCCAGAGCCCATTAATATCTAAAAGAAAATAGTCAACAGTAAGAAGTCTATCTGTCTATCTTTAATTCTTGTTGATAATGAACAATTGTTCAAAGGGGTAAAATATGCACAGTGACTGTGCATATAATGCAAGAGAAGCAACAAGCAGACAAAGTATGATGTGATGTAGCAAAAGAAGAGAATAGCACACATTAGAAACTAGAAATGTAATCAATGGAAAGTCATGCTACCAAGTCAAAAGAAAATCAAGAAACCAGGGAATATCTTTTTTTATTTAGTCTCTATCTCGTCATACAGATGATAGTTAACTAACTTAAAACGAACAAGCATAGCCTAAACCAAAAGGTAAAGGCAACTTCTACTTAATAGTCATGCGAAACGCACAGAGATAAGAGATAATGCAATATTAAATTGTTTCTCAAAACGGATAATCATATTGCATAGTGTATCGCATGAGAAATAGATTATATCAAATTGCTACTTAATCTATATTCAACTGTATGGAAAGAAATCAGCTTAAAATCGATTATTCATTGATTAAAAATCGTTTTTTAACTTACAAAGATAGATTCGTCTGATTTCTTCAATTTTTTTCAAATCGATTTTAACTGACTAAAAATTATTATTTTCTTCATAGAATAATAGTTTTTAATTTGTTAATATTGATTTTTAAAAATTTGAAAAATCATAAGAACAAACATTTCTGACGAATAAAAACAATTTTAATCGATTTTCAATCAAACGATAATAAAACTACACATGTAAAAATCTTGTCAATTAAATCATAAAGAAACACACTTATTAGAAATAGACTATCAAAATGATAGAACTTACTTTTTGCAGCAAACTACAAAAACAAAATTCTGTATAGAATACCTTTAGGTTAAATAAATACTGACATTTTATAGTTACATGTTTACCACTAGTCACTAATAATAAGCATACGAGATACCTATCGATTTTTTTCTTTTCGTTCTTTGTCTGGCATGCATAGATATTTTTTAAACTAGCAAACTAATCTAAATGTACTAAACGATGACCTTATTATTTATGCTGTAATATAGTAAATAGAAGTTCATCACAATTCAAAACTTCAATAAATTTTCTTTTTGATTTCATTGGATAGAGCTCATCGATATGCATAGAATAAACTATGTTTTCGGTTTTTCGAAATATTTTTTTTTTCATGAAAAAACATTGAATATATTGTTATATGCTAAGATGAGACAAAAACAAGCCAAGACACTGAATCATGTTGCTTGTTTTTTCGTCTTGAGTACATTACCTTTTTCAATCGATTTTTTTAATTTTTGTAACCTAATATTGAATTTGAATAAGTAATAAAAACTTTGGTCTAGAGATCAAACTTTTTATTATTTATTTAAGTTTAATGTTAGGTTAGAAAAAGAAGAAAAAATCGATTGAAAAATAAAATGTATTCAAGAAGAAAAAACAAATCATATGATTTAATATCTTCTTTTTCCAATACATCTCAATGAGGTCAATTCGATGGAATCAAAAAGAAATTATTGGATTTTTAAATTATGGTGATCTTATATTAGCTTGATAGCTTGGTAGTGTGGTAAACAAAACAGGCAAACATAAGTGAAAGATAGAAATCTACTGTGTTATAACACAGAATACGGATTGAGTTCGATGGTTTACTGTAGATGAATGAACAAAATTATATGCATTTCGATATAATGTTCCTCTTTTGTGTGAGTATGCTTTCTATTCTCACCGATTAATTATGATTCGAGTCAAGTATGAAATAATCTTAGAAACGAACAACTCAATTGGATATTGATATTATTTTTAAAATCAAAAAAGAGATTTATACACTTTGATGTTCTTTCTTTGCGTTTGAAAAAGAATAAGACGCAACGTCAAAAGTGGAATAGCTCAACATTTAATGAAAGATCTATTTAGAAGTTCATGAGTATCGATTATCTGCTACCTAGATTTTCATATATATTCACTATCACATGATTGCCTAGTTGATTGTCATACAATATTTATGATTTATGATAGTTCATTATTTCTTTTTATTATGCGATGAAGAAACAAGCGAAAGACTGACGCAGTGATCCGCATACATATATATCTGAATGAATCAGTTGAATAAAAGAATGTCATGTGTCAATAATAAGAGACGATACAAATCATGAATCCGATATGATACGCTCAACCGTATCACTAACTTATCAAAGGAAAGTAATACTCATAATTATCCGACCCACTTAATATTGATGAAAGCTGGTTGATAATATAATAAAATACATATGCTACTCATTCTTTTATTTTGTACAGTGTCCTTGTGTGATTCTTACGATTCGATTGGTAGATGTTTCATATGTGCGTCACATTCATAAGGAAAAAAGACAAAGTCCGAATTTTTGTTTTTCTTCAACGGTTAAAAACAACCAGCGATAAATACTTGACTTTTTTTCTTTTTCTATCAACCTTAAATTAACAAAATCAATTTAATAAAAAATAAAAACACTATTATATTAAAAAACTTTAGAAAAACCAAAATAATTGAAAAAAAAATCCGAAAACATTATTTTTGTTGTAATTATTATAATAGAACTCAGTCTCTAAATCAAAGAATTATTTTCTTTAAATCAATAAGTTCTACATAGAAATTAGTGAAAATCAAAGCATAAAACTTTGAAAATGAGACATTTTTTTAAAATTTTTTTTGATTAGATTTATTTTATCATAGGAATGTCATTTTCTTGTTAATTTAAAATAAATATAAATTATATTTATTTTTATTTATAAATAATGACAATTTGATTTAAACATAAATTAAAATGAAAGGAAATGAAAATTGATAGTTCTACTTTTTCTATTTAAATTTAATAATTTTTATTAATTCTTTTCTTTATTTTATTTATAAAATTTTTCTAAAAGATTAGAAATATTCTTCAAATGATCTATATATTAGATTTGAATACTTTTTGCATTTGGTATTTTTTTAATTGTGTTTTTTTCTTTTATCGTTATGTATCTACATGATTTGACAAAACGAATCAGATAGAAAAACAATTAATATTGTATCAAAAAAACAAAAAGTACAAAAATAAGCATAATATAATAATATCAATAATTGATAAATAAAGGAGTAAAGATTAAAACTACACTACATCTCAATTGAATTTTCTTTCTTTGCTTAGAACAATTGCAATTGGACTTTTTTTTTCTTTCAATAAATGATCTATCGAGAAAGTAGAAACTTCAATAGATCGTATCATATATTTATCATGAATAAGATGTCGACTTTTGAGAATAATAAAAACAGATGTAGCGCTTTATTACAAAATAATGAAAATGGATAAATAAAATGTCAATCAATAAAATCATTAATTTATCAACTTATATCATTCTCAATTCTTATTTTCATAGATATACTTTTCAATTATCACCTCTAACTTAGCACATATAAAGAACTTAACTAGACTAGATTCCATCAAAAAACAACACTTCCAAGTTTTGAATAAAGTCTCTTCGAGATCGTGTATATCCAATACATTTTTTGAAAGTTCCATATATGAAAGTGACCTTGCTCAAAACTTCTGACGTGAGTTTTTTTTTGTGTAAGCTGGTCGATTTGAACTGTCTGTATGTACAAAGTTTTAGATTAAAATTCAAAAAATACAAGTTTTTCCAAAATCTAGTACTTCTATATAGAAAATAGATATGTTTAAAACTTGGTAGTTTACCAAGGAAGATTACTGAGTGTTCAATCATGTTTTAGTTGAAACCTAACGGGTTATAAGTAATCAATCATGTTGATCCCAAGTGTAAACATAATATTTGATGTTAAGACTTCAAAGACTCTATTTTGTGGAAAATGCAGGGTTGCCAAAAATTTTTTTCCAGGGAAGTACAGCCCTAACGACTAGTGATATGAACAATGAATTTTATACCAAATGAAAGCCCGTCAGAAACGAGGTTTTGGGGTATATTTTGATTTTCCATAAGAGGGTGACGACTTGTAGAACTGTGGAACTTCAGAAAATTTGAAGAATCTGCAATTAATAAAACGCTATTCCAAAGGTAAAATTCTGAGTAAAAACAGTTAAAGAATGATAGACATATCAAATCAATGTTTATTTTTTATACAGCTCGTCTAAATAATCAATAATCTGTATGCCAACCGTTAGCTTTTTTTGATAGTCTGTAATCGAGATGGATGGGAACACAACAGGTTTTCAAAAAGTTCAGTATTTGTTTCCATACTTTCTATGACATCGCATATGTGATTTTTCAATGTTTCTTCACGATGGCGATCATGTCCGGTCTCAGATAACATTCTTGTCTCGACTTCATCCTTCAGTATTGATGCAATGTGTTCAGCTGCATTGAGATCAGGTGAATTTCGGGGCCATATATTGTTACCCCAAAAATTGATATCATTGTCTTGGATCAATTGCTGGGTCATATTTGCTTTCACGCATGGAGCTTTGTCATGAACAAATGTTACTTCATCCACGTGAATGACGTTTTCTTCATTCCTGAGGAAAGGAAAGACGTGTCGCATCAAAATTGTATCACGAAAATATTGACCTGTCCAGGATTCTCCTTTATTTTTGATTATACCCAATGCAATTTTTTCGCGGCAAAAATAATGAAAATACCGATGCATGATTGATTTTGTATCATTTCGCGATATCTTTCGTCCTCTTCAATATCTTCAATAGATTTAGCCCAAATCCTGTCACTTTGATGATTTGGCTTGCGAATGCTCCAAACGAAAAATT